GGCAGTACTTTTTGCCATCGCCGGGGTATACACACACTTGCGACGGTTTGCTAATAACCATGGCAAGAGACGACGTGGTACGTTCGTGGCAGGAGCTGCCATGAAGTGGTAAGAACTGCGCCTCTACGAAATTGCAGCAAGGGTTTACGTTTACTGTTACGTAACAATGGATCCAACGTAACAAAGGTAAAATGACTCATTCAGAATAAACTATGTAAAATATTCAATCATATATTAGGTAATATTTATCACAACTCTCTTAATTTTCGTGGCGCACTTTTTGCCATTAGTTATCGGGAACCGATGGCTTAATAATTCTCAACGACTAACATACCATGATGCGCAACTAAAGCTTTGACCAATGAGGAGTGTCTGACGCGATACGCTCCATTGCGGCAACTTGATTCGTTAACGCTCACTCGAGTTCCCAGCGTTTTGCTGCAGTTTCACCAAATCTGTTGGTCGCATTGGACTCGTGGGCAGTAGTTATTATTATATTATATAAACAGTGGCTATGGCTAATAAAAGTAAGTCTACCATTTTCATATGTTAGATAAGTGTGTTTCCCCTAGCGGGTTACTATTCAGGTGGCTACTACCATGATGTATGACAGGCAAAGATGCAGAGTTTAAATCCCTGAATCAGATCCTGAATTTGATAATACATTCAGACATTACCTGTCTGCCTGTACCGTACTAGACTCATTCAAGTAAGAGGATCATAAACTGACAGTATTCATAGTTCTTGACAAGGCAATGGAAGAAAAGTTTATCTTGAATGAGCAAAAGTAAGACACCTATTGAAAAGAAAGCTATTTATTAGATAGCTTCAATACGCCTGGCAAAAAGTGTTAGGAGAGGTTTAATGCAGGACCACCAACAGATCATGCATTCAATTATCTTATCAATATATTTTCTGAATTTTTGCTAATAAACAACTTACTGTGATTTATAAAAATTACTTCTGGGTACTCAACATGTCAAAAGTTACTTACCAGCGTGGCGTCTTTGGCAAGTCATCAACATATTCAGAAACAAAGTAATATTTACATAATTATAGACTCCTACACAAATTACGTGATTACTAATACAACTTCTACAACTCAAGGTAAACATGGGAGGCAGATTTTTTAAACACCATCGGATAAATCTACCAAAATAATTTTCCTTTTTTTATTTTTAGGCAGAGATATAAGTGTGGAGAAAATTGTAGATGAGTGGAAGATCATTGCAGCCACTGTCCCTATTTAACAAAAGGTGGTCAAATTGTTGCTGAAGAAAAGTCCCAAGTGATCAAATGTTATCCTTCAGCTGTGATGCAGTTAGCGTAATCCCTACACTGGAACATAGTATTTCCAGGTTACCTATCCTCGAGTCTGTCTGGAAATTAATTGATAGATTCACAGCCAAAGAAATGGATAAAACGAAAGGTGCGGTTTTTAAGTACGTTTAGATACTATAATTTTACGGACCATATGACTTACTGGCAAAAATTGCCCGATTCGGTTTTTTATTCATACATAAGGCTATAAAACACAACTGTTTTTTAGGCAATATTGGTTTTGAATGTAGGCAATAAAGCACTACCTGATTCATACATTGCGGGCATCAGCTTAACAAGCTCTCGATCGATTTTAATTTCAAGTTTCGACACCGTTTGATTGACATTCATGATAATCAACAATGCGATATCTTAATATTGCACACCTGTTTCCCATTTTTTTTTTCAGATTTACTAGCTTTAAGTTCTATTGAATGATGATGAGATCCATAAAGTTCAATACATTGCTGGGTTTATTTTACAAAAATGCAAAAACGATGCCGAGACCCGGAAGACTGCAAAAGAATTCAGTCATTATTTAATCACGAACCGGACTGTTTGACAACTGACCGTATGATTGCAGGAAACGGAATATGGGCGCTTAACCGTACCATCAGCCAGTGTCCTTGAACTATGTAAGCTGTTCGAAATTGAATCTAGATTAAACTATGCTCACGAAGGCGTTACAGCCTCCGTGTTTGAAAATTTTAATATAGAATCATTTGGTATCGCTCGAAACGATACTAGCATGCTGGACATCTTGGAAAAATTATGTAGGTTCTACCTGAAATCAAGGTGCCATCAAACAGCTAGAATCGTCAATAACGCCCTCTTGAAAAAGAACCAGAATTTATCCCTACGAAAACTGCTTAAAAATAAATGTAGATGAATAGCATGATCTCTTTTCACTTCTGTTGGCAAGGTACCGCGTTTAGATGTGATTCCAGTTTTTATTTTTATTGCTGTATGATTACTTTAGCAGTAATTAATCAAAGTAACCTAACAAAATGTCCATTGCATTGTCCAGTATATTTTCATGACAGTAGGCAATGTAAGTTGCATAATAAAAATACAGCTTATCTAGAACTGTTTTAATTATGACTTTGCTAGCCTAGTCTAGTTGGATAATATGTGCAACATGCAAGTACTACTGTCTTGAGTTGTCCCAGCGACAGATGATTTCCAGTTGGATATTGCTGGGATGAAAGCTATTTGGTGGGATTCCGTCAATTTGCAGGAGTGTGTAACTCTTCGGATGAAAGGTATGGTATTGCACGAAAATGATCCCACAAATGAACTTGCCATCTTTTTTAATAGGCGAAGTCCACCAGCGTGACTCCTAAACACATTGCGTACTGTTTTGAGTAGATGATGGGGGTAAAATAGATGGTAAATGAAAGAATCGGGACCATTGATACATGTATATGGGAAAGTTAACTTCAAATTATTTTGCTCATGTAACATTTTATGGTTTGCACTAAGTCCATCTGTAACGAGTGCGATGAGCCCTAAACCCACATTCTTGGAGGTTCTCCAACACTTTCCCAGAAAATGCTGGCGAGATGGTCTGAAGTAGGGTTGCCATACCGTCCGGAAAATTCCGGACATGTCCGGAATTTAGGGTTAAATTTTACGTCCGGGAGGATTTTTAAAAAATGCTCAAATGTCCGGAATCCGGAATTTTACTGCATCTGCAATCGTACTGTGCACACTGCTAATACTATGAGGTTGTGTGGAATTATGATGTAACAGAGCGTTTTCCTTATCAATGATGTTTACCACTTAGAACTTTCTGAATATTATTCGCTGACTGTTTTACCCGTTTAGTTGAGCAGCTGCAAGTGTATTTGATAGCATTTAGTTCCATGTTAAGTCAGCAGAATACAAAAGTTTTATACCACGAATCTTTTTTGAGTTTTTTTTTATTTGAATAAGAAGCTAGTCAGGAATTCGGGATCGAAAGTGCTAGTCCCTGAAGCCATTTGGTTCAGTTAGTCTGGTGGTAAATTACTTTGTTTTTTAGAGTACTTCTGTTTTACTCAAAAAGATTTTCCCAGATTCTAATGTAACGAAGAAGGTTAGTAGTGGCCGCATAAAGACAGAAAAAGTTGTTACTAGCTTACTTGCGCAATATTCTATTGATGCTGTTCTGAAAAGTTTTGAAGAAAACGATATCGCAACGATTTTGGCGTTGCAATGAACTGAAATTATTTCCTACAATTATTCAATATTTTGACTGGAGGAAAGGTGGTTTGCAATCAAAATTGATTGAGTTTACGAACAAGGCAAACGAGACTGCCGACACAATTGCCACTTATGTAATAGACACCTTAGAAGAAATGATGCTTTTGAAAAAATGTGTGGCATTTACAGGAGACAACTGTAAATGCCCCATTGAGGAGAATTAGATCTCCAGAAAAATATGCATGGTCAGAAGAGTAAATTTGTAGTGACTTGACTTACAAGCTTGTCTGTAATTTGTTTTAAGCATGTAATTGCTGTTCTTCCTTTTCGGCACAACCTAATTCTCATTATTATTTTCCACTCTGAAGTTGAGATTTATTTAAAGCTATATTTAGAGAATGCTTACCCGCCTGGTGTGAGATTCTGCTTGTGACTGAAGACAATACTTCTCATTTCGGTAGCGCATTTAAATGGTCTCCTGAAAATACGGAGCTCTTGAAGTATGTGCACTAAGATGGCGCACAACCTGAACATAGTATAGGTTGTGCGCCATCTTGGTGCACATACTTCGGGGGCGCCGAAAATATTCATGCACTGTCCGGAATTTTGCTTTGTCAAATATGGTAACCCTAGTCTGAAGAGCTTTGAAAACTTCCCAATCAAACCACGTGCATAAACTTGCAGTGCATTGTGTGCAGGAACTTTTTCTCTGTTTTTCTCGACTCTCCCAAGTCAACAAACCCAACCATCATATCTTTTTTTGAATTGTAGACAATATTTTCTTTGTCTAAAAAAATGAAAAAAGATAGGTTTATCTTCAAATATTGTCCTGAATGGACTAAGTTATGCCAGGTTTCGAACCAAATTACACAGAACTTACCAGATTTGTTTCAATTTCGCACATTAAAGTTTGTTTACTAATAATAATAGTACAATCATAAATTTGGTCATTCTTCAACTAATTTTGTTCGCCTACTTTACATCAATTTGTGTAAAGGAACTGAAACTTTTGGACAGGTGTATGTATATTCAATTGGCTATCAGTACCCAAGCTCGTAATAGAAGTGAAACAAGAATAATCTTCAAAACACTGTTCCCATCTTTTCCCAGATGAAATAAATATTTCACAATTTAGTGATCTAAAATAATGATAAGAGACATTTCTTAATATTGCTCAAAGGAAATGCCCACATAGCAGTGTTGTTAAGTCATTCGCAACTTGATACTGTTAGTGGAAGTAAAAATAGAAGACTCAGACAAACAAGGTGAAGTTACTGTGTAAAATTTTCAAGGTAATAACATGATATTGGTATAACTGGTATAACATGATAACTGGTATTGCTGCTGCCAGTCATCCCCTCACAAATGATCGATGTATAAATAATATACAGGATATTTGATATAAAGTTGTTTCTTTTACATCAATATTATTCAGGATTTACGATGTTACACTAGTCTAACCATGATAAATTGCACTTATCTCCAACTCTGAATCAATTAGTGCGTTTACATGGCAACGATTATCGTGCCAAAACCGTATTTTGAGCGAATCGTGTTCATGTAAACACTTTGGTTCGGTGGCCGATCATGACTCAGCGTGTTTGCATCGTGATATTCCAGCACGATTGCACAGGGTAGATTTGCAAACACGATGCTTTCTTCACACGCGCGAACGGGGGCGCGCTGACGGGTTTACTTCAGCGATTTCTAGGTCGCTTGCTCTGCGCTTCTGTGGACCTAATGCAGTACCGGTACCGTACCGGTAATGCTTGCAGCGCGACAGCGTTGCAATTGCAAGCGAGTTTGAGCTTTTTGAAGTAATCAGTAACGCTAGATAGAATTCTTTACTTGCGAAAAATATGTTAAACTTCTTTCTGAACCAACAACGGCCTGTCCTGCACAATGCAATACCGGTACGGTGCCGTAACTGGATACCGGTATAAAATATTAAGTAAAGTGGCGGAATTCTAGTGCCATAAATGGCTGAAACGTATGTAAGGGTTCAAGTTCCGTGGATTATGAAATTTAGCAAAAGATACAGTCAGACAGTAGGATGTTTTATCTGTAAAATCAAGTAGCCTAAGCAGAACTGATACGAGTCAGGGAATAGTACGAGACAAGAATAGGGCTATGGGCAGCCAGGGCAGGGATGTGTGGAGCTTTTCAACCACAGCTAGCAAAGCGAACGATGTACGTGCCCTACGTTCTAATTTGGAATGTAGGGCATGTTAGTCTATATATATATATATATACTGATATATTCATAGGCTACATCAAAAATACAGTACCGGTATCTGACCGGTACTGTTCTTGATTTTGAAAATTTACCAACTGTAATTTATTGACATAATAAATTCCATTCATAGCAAACCATTATTTGGTTTACTGATTTATATTTATCGCAGAAAAGTAGTAGTGCAGTTTATGTTCATGAGTGAGATGGAGTCTATGTCAAATCTGAAAGTTAAGTGGGAAGACAACGAGGTTAAAACAATGCTTGGCATTGTTCGAGAAATGAATCTGGTTGCTCTGCTTGACCAAGAGGAGTCTAGATCAGAAGTTTTGTACAAAGAAGTTGAGAAACAGTTGACAGCGAAGGGATACAAGAAAAGGTTTGGAAGCACAATCGTTATGTTATACAGAATACAGTTTCAGTTCTGCGATTCATATATTTTAGTAATTTCTGAAAAGTTATTTCTACTTAATTTTTAGACATTTGCAATTGAATTTTGTTGAAATAATATTAGATACGAACTATGTTAAATTCTTGACTAGCAGTATGTTTTCAATTGGCTGGTTACTAAAGCTAGATGTTTTTTCAATTGTAGTTTCCAACAAATACATTATAAAGTGAAGGCCTTATGGTCTACTTTCAACAAGATAGTACGTCTGCATTCTGTTGGTGGGGCGGCTCACATAACATGTGATTATTATGATGAGCTTGATGAAATCTTCGGCCACCACCCAGATGTTGATTATACAAATATGGGAGTGGATACTGGAATCACAAACGCTGTATCACTAGGTAACAATTTTTCTTTGATGTTTTTGAGGCTATGAGCCAGAGGCTATGGTTCAGCATATGATTAAGCCGTCCTATGAGTAATATACTACTATGAGGGCTACTATGAGAATCCTATTCTGTTATCACCCTAATAATGTCATTTTGGCACACAAATTTATTATTATGGGAAATTGTCGACTGTCTTTTCAAAATTGTTTTGCTTATGCTTAGATGTTAAAGGAGATGCAGCTTCAACTACAGAGACATCTTTTGATACTTCATCCAATCATGAAGAGAATCCAGAATCTGGTTTGTGTCTATATAAATATTTGGTATACCGGTATATTATATGTCTCAACCAAAACATCATGCTACCTAATTGAGAGATGTACTGATGCATTGATATCGGCCAATATTTCGGTATAGTCTAAATAAAGAATGATATTTTGATATTGGAACAAAATCTTGCGCACGTAACTCAATGTATAAGTTTGGTATCTGTATCGGCATTTTTAGTTGGTATCGGCGACAAAAGTGGTATTCGTACATCCCTTTCAATTTGAGATAAGTCTTATTTAATTATATTTCTATAAAAGTTTAACTAGGAATTGGGCATTTTCTAGTTAAGTGAAAGTCTCTTATGCCACTGTGCAGGAAAAAGACCTTCAGTTGACTTTAAAATACTTTTCGAGAAACAAAGGGAGTGGGAAGAAAAAATGATGCACGAGCAAATGGAAGCCCATGCGCAATTGATGAGAGAGACTGTGCAACAAATGGGGACGATACTCTTTGCATGTGTGTCTCAGCTTTCAAAAAAACGAGGTAAAAGCTTATGTTTCGCTTAGGCGTATATATAAGGAAATTCCCTTAAAAAAATTTACTCCCTCGACTGTAACCAACTGCTTTGTAAAAAATCCGGAAGTAATATGTTTAAAATACACCCCGCTCCTACTGCCACACGTAATCTGGAGATCTAATTGTAAACTTTGTTTTAAGGGTCTGAGGAGTAAATATGGATGATTGTGTGACAACAAGGTTACCCGATTGTAAAAAGCAGTTCGAGTTGAAGCATCAAAAATTCGTTTATCATCTGCATGAGAAACTGAAACGATTAGCTCTGTGGATCCAATGTTGTTGTTTTATTACATATATTGCATTGCACAGTAATAAAATGAAAACCATTGTGTTGTGGCATGGTCCGATCAGAGTGTAGGGGTATAGGCGAGCTTTATAATATAAATAGATTTTCTCCACCAGAAAGCTTAATGAAGGGAAGGTATTGCACATCAACATAATGGAATGACTGCAGGGGGACAATTTGAATAAATTTCTGCAGATAGACTAGAACGGTTGTGCAAAGCCTCTTCACGCCCATTTTTGAACTCTTTAATATGGTTTATAATCTGTATATAAATGAGCATCATGGTAGAATAGATAAAGTCAGTGACCAAAGCAATAATCCCAGATTGCTTGGGAAATGTTGCTGTAGTGTAGTAAAGCGTTGAAAATCGCCCAGCATTTGTAGTTGATATGTACTGATATTTCGGAATATGTCAGATAAAATATATGAAGAACTAGCAGGATGTTCGCGAAATTTGTATCTTTGCTCTGTTTCGCATGAATGAGAAACTTATAAACACGTACAAGATAGTTAACTTGTAAAATTAAAAACATTTTGCAAAAAATGAATTCATTTCAGCAGTTAAACCGGATTTAAAAGCAGCCGTGGAAGATGAAACTGGCAACTGTTTTCAACTCCAAGTACGATGCCAACGATTTTAAACCGGATCGAAATTCAATGGTGTCCATGTAAACACAAGACATATTTTGGCGTTCGATTGTCCGAAATACGATGTGGAAACGTTTTTTGATAAAACGATTATCGTGACCATGTAAACGTAGTAAATGTTTATAGCTTGAGAAAAAAATTGAATATTGCCTTCTAAATCCTGGTATTTCCAGTTCTGCAGTTGGAGGGTGAATAAGTTGATGCACTTTTTTCCAAGTCTTGCAAACTTTTATGACATATTTTTTCAGTTACTTTCCTCATTTTGGAGAAGATCTATTCAAAGTTGGCGTTCATCTCGGGTATTGCACCAATTTTAAGACGCGACTGTGAGGCTTTGTTGGATATTCCTCTCTTTTATTATAAAATCAAAATCTTGAATTTACTTTTTTGAATGTCATTTTCTTCCAAGTGCCCTTCACAAATTTTATTCGTCACGTAAATACACGTGTTTAATATCAGAATCAGCCTGCAGATCAATCACATTTTTTTCAATTTTGTCCGCCTATATAAATTTTGTCAAAAACAGGGTGCAAGATCCACTGACACTATCGCATTGTGGAACGCAACATCGATTACTTATGTTGATGAGTGATGTAAATAAATAGCCTATAATACAAATATTGTAAATCCTATATATGTAATATGTATGTAAATCCTATGTCCAATGTATCCTAATAAATATGTAAATCCTATCCTTATTCTAAAAAAAGTAGCCTAAAAGAATAAAACGAGTTGACTTTGAAAAAGGGTATTTGTACTTTCTGACTTTTAGAGTTTGGTGAATACTATAGTGCTGGTATGTTAGCCGTAAGTTATAATAGTAGAATTATATCTCCTATAGACTGGGGGGGGGGGGGGGGGGGTATGTAACCAGAATGAGCGTAACCCAGTACCGGACTCACAGAACATAAGAAATAAAGTAGCCTAGACCCTAGGTTACGATAATCGGGTGGAATATTGCAGTATTGAGGTGTTTTATAGAACGCCAAGTTACCTGTAGGCTGTACCTACGTTGTCTTGAGGGGGAAACTACTAGTTGAAGCCAAAGGTAAATCTAAAATCTAATCTATCTTTGATTAAACTAAAGAGACAGAGCTTAAGATGGACAATCGGCATTTGATATTTTATCCACATTAAAGTACTGAACCAACGTAATGAAATACCATGGGCTGCTGAGCTAAGAATATACAACGAGATATTTTGTGCACATACCAACGCGTTCACCAATCCCCGAGCAAATCAAGTGACCGCAATGGAGCGTGAAGCTGCAGAAACTCGTAACTCGAATAACTTTGTTTGTTTTATTAATGTGGGCGTGGCTTTCTAGGCTAGTTTCATCTCCCTGGTCGGCACTTAGAAAACGCTATACAAGTATGTGAGTTGTCTAACTTTCGAGCATGTGTTTTGCAAAGCAATCATTCCGTAGTCGAGTTGTCTTCTCCTCGAGCATCGATATCGCACAGCAATTGCTCGACTGGTGTCTGCCCCTCGATGCTCTATAATCGTGTTGCCTTCTCATCGAGCATCGATACGGCGCGGCGGTGTGGCTCAACGGGCTAAGCGTTAGGATTAGGAATACGCTCGCCACCGCACCTCTAACTACTCTGCGTGGGTTCGCAGGTTCGAATCCCATGCAGGGATGGTTATGTGCGAGAGGATTTCTGGACTCCTCGCCGTCGTTGGGTGGTTCACGTAACCGCTGGTCGGTTACGGCTTCCTCCAAGTCCATGCTTCCGAAAACAAACAATACAGTAAAACTAATCCCATACCCGACTTGGAATGGTAACCGGACGAGAGGCCGTGGTTCGCCATATGGATAAGCCATATGGAAAGTCTTATCGGCTTTCCTCTCCCCCGGGATAAATATGTAAATCCTATCCTATCTAGAGCGATTGCTCGACTGGTGAGTTGTCTGCCTCTCGTTGCTCTGTGATCGAGTTGTCATCTCCTCTAGCATCGATGACGTCACGTCGCAGAGCAATTGCTCGACTGGTGAGTTGACTGTCTGTCGAGCGACTGCTCGGTAGGCGAGTTTAGACTACTGCGACCATAGACTACTAAGCTCACATCCATAAATATATAAGTGTTACTGTGAAGTATAAAGGTTTTAATATATTTAAAGGTGCTCATTCAAAACATTTAATAACAATAAAGTTCAAAAATTAAACGCACGCAGTGCAATAAGTCAACAGTCTTACTTCGCTAACGTTACTCCAATTTCGTCTGTAGACTGTATTTGTTTGTATTCATTCGACATGAGAAAAATAAGCCACTTACACAAATAAAAATGCTTTCTAGATAATATTTATGTATTTTTCTCAACATTTGAGCACTAAAAATATCAAAAACGCATTTCTATAGACCTAAAACACCGCCGTAGAAAATGCGGAAAGACGGGCAACTCACTAGGCCTCTCTGTAGTCGAGTTGTCTCTGGTGAGTTGTCCGTCAGCCATTACAACAAGGGGAAGAGTTCATTTTGGACGTTCTGATGTTTCTTTAACATTTCCTCCAGTTTCAATTTCCTTCGGTACCGTATATCTTTTTTCTGGTTATTTTGTTCATTTAATGTCATACTTATCTGAGTAGGTGCCGGTAACAAATTTGTTCTCAATTGGAGACAATTTATTTTTATATGCCCTTCCTCTCCACATAGTCTACAGGTTTTCAATTGTCCAAAGTAGGCTATTTTACCAGCAGAGTATAACCATCTACTGATATATAACTGGGTAATGTATTTTCCTCCAACTTTTTTTTTTTCTACTTTGGTAAACCAATGACATTAAACAACATGATAGGCAACTCTGACGTCACTCCGTAAGACTACAAGCGAATGATTGTATTTCATGATACGCTCCGATGCACATATTTCTCGTCGCCTTTCGCGACCGTTTTCAGCTCGCTTTTGCTACTCGGCGTCTTCTTTACGTGTAGTACCTGCCTTTTCGCGACTGTAACAAAAGAGAATAATCTCTATATCTAAGAAGTTTTACTCACTTGGAATGCTGGAATGGCAGACAAGCTGTAAAGAGCAATTCTGGACATCATAGACGTTTTTTATCAGAGAAGATTACAAACGCGATAGCGAAAAGATTTGTGTGGAACATTTTGCAGATAATAACAAATTTCAAAGTTAGTAATTTTAATGTTTGCGCTTAAACATTGAAATTTCATTTAAAGAGGATGTCATACAGGACAGCAAAACTGTTTTTACTTCTCCTAGCGGTGCTGTGATACAATTCCGTAACACAAAGTTTGCACCTATCGAACTTGCTTTTGTAGGTGAATTAATTAGACATATTACATATTCAGTTAATCGTAGGTAACATTGCTGGGTACATAATGCCTCGTGGATAGGTTTGTTTAAATTTAGGAATTCAGCTCATAGCCCACTAATTAATATTATCTTCTATGCAGGAGGTTGCAGGGCTGAATTCAACTTGCAGCCCTACCGATCACCTGACCATGCTCATTTAGTTTGTCTCGAGCAAGTCTTCTTGAAAGACTTGTGTGAATTGAAACTACCTATATGTTTTGCCTTCCTTCGATTTTAGAAGACAAATTTATTCTGAGGGATTTCGCATATAATTCTCATTGGTTGTTGGCTGTTTATAATTCCTAATAATTGTGAATTCTGATTATACCGAAGAGTTAAAAAAAAAATTACGTAATTTACTGGCACCTCTTTCTTGTCAATACTCCAAGCTGAGGTAATAAACAAGACAATACATTTATGTCATTTGGAAGCAAAATATGCACACTAATTAATAGTTTGACACATTGAGATAACACATCATCAGAAAATACAAGTTGAAGATATGTATGACCATCACATGGTATTTAAAATTAAAAAAAAATTAATAGCGGCTGTGGAGTATGAAAAGTTCAAGACAAAGAAAAGAACAAAAGTTCCAATTTTGCCTCCATTGCTTTGTGAAGGCCAATATAATTCGAGTGGCTGAATTAGTTATCTTTATGATAGCAACGATTTTGACCTAAAATTAACAAAAATACTATACAGTATAAACTCAATGTTTTTTTAATTACATTTGTCCTGACGTTTGGTATCTTTTTTGTGTCACCAGCATACTAAGGCCAGGCTGAAATGATTTTATAGTACCAATTCTAACTAACGAGGTCACATGATCATGGGCTAATCTGGATCTTTGCGAAAAATAATTCCAGTAATGCAAAAAAGTTATTTTTATAATTTCATGTATAGATCAGTAAAAAAACACATGACAGATTTTTTCGACAAGACATTTCGCACCACATTGCGTGGCGTAGGATTGTTTGAATTATTATTGATATTGATTTTTAGTAACTAAGTCGTTGTATAATTATATTAATATACAAACACATGAAAATTTTCTGTTCGAAGTTGGTCTTCGAATTTGT